ATAAAAATATTAATTAATACCCTTGTTTTACAGAAAATCACTTATGGCAGCTGCTATTTTCGTTGTGAATGTCTCTCTTTAATCCGATTTTCAGTTTGGTAGACTATCATATACAGCTTTCAGGTTATGAACTTCTTTTATTGGTTTGTCAAATGCATTTCGGACTCATTTGTATTTTAAGTCCCTCTTCAGTACAAACTCAGATTCTGTTTTCTAAAAACCCCCGGTGTATAATTGGTAACGTTGGAAAGAGTTTAAAAATACAGCCATTTACAAACACTTCAAATACATATTCACATTAATACGTTGTACCTGTTAAATACATATACACATTAATACATTGTAACCAATAAAAGAAGTTCATAACCTGAAAGCTGTATATGATAGTCTACCGAACTGAAAATCAAATTAAAGAGACACATTCACAACCCTTGTTTTAGTTAAACAGGAAATGACATCACAATTTTTAATTTCTTGTTTTATAACTTTAAGGAATAATAACAGATATAGCAGCAATAGTAAAATAATAATGTCACACACAAAAAAAAGCTAAACTAAAATTCCAGTGGTTCAAATCTACATCATCTAGCTCCAGTGCCTAGCACTTTTATCTATTTGACTATCGCTGCTCAGAGATGTAAAACTTTCAAAGACTTATAAGCCAAACACTAAATTTTCAAAGGCCCAATTTTGGGAAACACTTGAGAAATGGGTTCTATTATTAGGGGGACCAGAAAGTAATGTCATTTCTGCACATATCAATATTTGTTTATCATTTATCAGCTCATTGTGTACTTCAAAGTCATACCAAAGATATTTTAAGGTTAAAGTGACTTGTTTACTTGTACATAATTAAATCTTAAATTTTTTTGCAGTTTTGGGTGAAATGACTAGCCAAATACCAGAAGAGGTACATATCTGGCATTGTATGCTTTTTGAGTTTCACAAGGGTAGTAATGCAACAGTTGCTACCAAAGACATTTGTGATATTTATCCAAGTGCATTAGACATTCGTAAATGCCAAAGGTGGTTTCTAAGTTCAGATCTGGTAATTTTGATCTTTCTGACATGTATCAATCAGAAAGACCAACAACTTTAGACAATAACATCTTAAGGGCAGAAGTGGAAGCAAATCTGTGTCAAAGTCAGACAATTGAGGAACTGTCAAACACTCTTAACCAACCTTGGTTGACCATCCAAGAACATTTGCAACAGATTAGTAAAGTATGCAGAGCAGGTGTTTGGGTCCTGCATAATCTGTCCAAAGAAAACAAAGCTAACCGATCCACTGTAAGCAACTTATTGCTTCAATGACACAATACAGAAGCATTTTTTGATCGCTTGATCTTGAAATGAGTCCTCTATGATAATCCAAAACACAAAAGACAGTGGCTCTGTCCGAATGATTTCCCATGAAGTACTGCTAAGCCAGGTTTACATCCCAAAAAGGCACTTTTGTGTGTTTGGTGGAGTATTCACGAAATTGTTCATTTTGAAGTGCTGAAACTTGGGCAAACTGTGAACAATTGGATCAAGTAAATCAATCTTTAATTGAATAGTGGCCAGCAATTATCAACGGAAAAGGCTGCAACACAATATGCAAGACCGCACTGTGCAAGACAAACCCTGAAAAAATTAATAAATTGGGGTGGGAGGTACTGCCTCACCCAACATTGTACCATCAGATTTCTATTTATTCCAATCACTACAACACTTTCTACAAAACAAAAAATTTGAAAATTTGGATGATATCCAAAATGCCATCTCCAGATATTTTGCTCAAAAAACCAATTGATTTTTATTGATCCAGCATTGAAAATTTGCACACTAGATGGCAAAAGGTTGTTGATAACAAGGGTGATTACATCATTGATTAAAAATAAAAACCAAGTTAAAAATTTATTTGTTTGAATTTAATGTAAAAAAACATTATTACTTTCCGGTCCCCTTAATATTTGGACAAGGAGCTGTTTGTGTTTAATTAAGGCTACATGCTAATCAAAATTTCATTTGAATTAGAGACCCGAATGTCTAATCTTCTTGTGAGTTAAATACTGTATTTGTTTTAATTGAAAGCAGGGGATCACTGGATAACAATATCCTCTACAATAAAAACAAAAATATTAGGGATATTAGAAATATTGTCAACATTAGTAAAAACACTGTGTAGGAGGGTAAAATACAAAAAATGAAAATCTAATTTCTTATCCACAGATAGGATGTCTAATGCGACTAAGTTCTAACAAAACCTTTTATGCTTAACCTCTACCCATTCAATTTACTATTCAGAGAAAGATATCTCAAGAACATAAATAGATCTTAATCTATCAATATTTAGGTATTTATTACATATTATTCAAATTAAAAGATATTTAAAAAATCGTAAAGATTTTCAAATTTATTAATCATAAAACTTAACACTAACCTTTCTACTCAAAATCCTTAGAACATAACCACGTGCTTAATAGCAATAGTTTCTAGATATATCTTGTTCAAATATAGCCCAAAAATAATAAATTTTGTATAAATAAAAACATTTAGAAATTTTACCAATTAATTAATTTATTTTAATATTATTAAATTACATATTATTTTTTATCATTTCTTTCTGGTTCGACCAAGAATCAATTTATCAATGTAAGAACCGACCACAATTCCTCCCGTTAACGAGTTCAATCACCTATATAATGGAGGTGTCGTGTGGCTAAAGTCAGGCCCAACTTATCCGGTCTCGTCATTAATTTAATGCACCCATGAGACGGCCGGATATCCGAGTTGCTAAGGTAGCAGCCTGTTGCTCTGAGAGACATGAGATCGAGTCCGGACGGGTTGAAATTCTCAGGAATTTTTCGGTATATGGTTCGTCCGGATATGTCTGACCCCGTCTTTCACCGTCCGCCCGCCCATTGTGAGCCTGACTGAACCCATAATGAGCTTGCTAAAAAGAAATCTTCTTAAGTGTCTACAGGGCGGAAAGTTTGAAAAAAAATGCAGTCATAAAGATTTCTGAGTTATCCAAGGTTCTTCTGAGAGGCAATCTGAAGGACCCAGGTCGGAAATTTTCCCGTTGGTCATCCGATCCTTTATCCTGTGACTGTCTGATCTAATTATTCCAATTAAATTAATTTGATGTAAGAAGTTTAATAATTTATGTGAAGGTTATATTACGAAGTACGAAATGAGAGAAATGTATATAGACCTAGAGAAGGCTAGGTCGCCAACTTTCTCAGACTCACCAGAAGACTATAAAAATTTGGCAAAAATTTTAAAATTTTTGCACTTGTTAGTGAAGGCCTATTCTTATCGTATTTACTTGACAAGATGATCAACTTTTGGGTTACATATTAAAACATAGCAAAGAATTAGCGACAGCGTTCTGATATTGTTGAAAATTAGAAAAAAAAAACAAATATCTCGAAATGTTTTACTTCTGTAATGGAAATTTTCCGGAATCAGCGATTCGGGAGCAGGGCCGTGCCGTGCTATGACGCAGAGATGCGGCTGCATCAGGCGGCACTGTGAGGGGGCGGCATAAAAAACATTTAAAGGTAGAATTTCAAAGACTTGCATCATACTTATAGAAAATCTACCGCACGGCCCTGGTATGATACACCAAATAATAAGAATTATAGCCTATATAAGACTAATAATTTATATAAGGGCGGCAAAAAAACATATAAGGGGCGGCATTTCGAAGACTTGCATCATACTTAGAAAATCTACCGCACGGCCCTGTTCGGGAGTTTGCAAATAGAACAGGATTACGTAAATTACATACATTGCTCTATCCATTTTGAATGACTGGTCCACAGTGGATTGGTCCATTGGATAAAGAACGAAGCTGTTATTCAATTGTCAAGAAAATGAGTTCTGAGGCAGAAGGTCTCTCTTAGTATAAAATAGCTAATCTTATTTTTGCATACAGCATTACAAAATTATGTCATCATTTCTTATTTGGCAAATAGTAATTATTTAAAAATTGTTATTATATTTTACAAAATAATTTTAGTCACGTAAATTGATTTTGTTTCATTCTTTTGTGTATAGTATTCTTGATGTTTATTTCAAATATCATTGGATATAATCCAGGAATCAGTATTTAACACTTGTAGATATAACAATGATATAAAAAGTAAACAAATTTTTCTATGTAAACCTTGTTTCTATAAGAAATATCCAAAATTATTCTAGATTAGAATTTTAAAAAATGATATTGGCTCTTTTTTGTGGAAGACAGACAATATTATTGATGTAATTGTCGGTTGAAGTTACTTAACAGACATTAACTCAGAGCGGTAAAAATGACAGCTTACAGCTCTAAAGAACCCAGAATCGAACCCGGACAGGTCAAAAAACCCCAAGAATTTTTCGGGGGTGGTTCATTGGTCACCCTTCTTCACCACCCGATCGCCTCATTGTCAGTCTGGCCGAACCCATAATGGGCTTGCTTGCTAATAAAGATCCTTTAGTGCCCAAGGGTTAGACGGCCGGATGGCCGAGCAGTGAAGGTGGTTGCTTACCGTTTTGAGGATCCCGGAATCGAATCCAGAGGGGTCGAAAAAATCCTCCTAAAAATTTTTCGGGGGTGATCCGACTGGATATATAGGCCCCGTCCCTTATCATTCGGCTGCCCCATTGTGGGCCTGGCCGAATCCATAATGGGCTTGATAAAAGAGGCCCTCTAAATGCCCACAGTAAGAAAAGAGAAAAAAAAAGTGTCCACAAAGCGGAATGAGTTGAAAAAATTAGGCACCTATATGAACATTTTTTATTTAAATTATATAAAATTATTTAAAAAATTAAATTGAGTAAAAGTAGTTCAATTATGTTTAAAATTATTTACGAAAATATTAATTTTTTTAAATGATAAAATTTATAATAAAAGTGATATTAAAAATTACAACTATAATTTATTTTTAAGTACTATATTCAATGAGATTTTTAGATAAGGAAAGAATTTTTTTGTATAAAATATTTTAAAATATTGAATTAATCTTCAATAGTTTTTAGGGATAGGGGTCGTTGTCGTTTTAAAATGGCTTCTCTGTTAAGTAGAATTTATTCTCCAATTTCTAGGACATTTTTATCTAGAAAATGTATGAATAAATATCACTTATAACATTGTTAATTATAAAATTAATACAGATATTTTGACTGAAATTATGCATTTATATTATAGATCCTCTGCAGTTTGCAGCACTTAAGAATCAAAGATCAACAGATGCAGTGGCTTCCACTGAAACTAAACGTAAATAGTAAATTTAAATTACTACACAATAAGGATTGAAATAAGAATGTTTAATAATAATAACATAATTAAATGTAAGCTTGTAGCCATCGGTGGTAGATTCAAAAGAATTCAATTGGGCTGACTCTAAATTAAATATATTTGAATAATTATATTACTTTTAACGGTAGAATTTTACCTATCGTTGGTGCACAAGAATAGTTACACAACTCAAAAAAATAGTTCTTCCAGAACAGCCATTTAAAAGTTTCTTTCATTTCTGCAAGGCTTTGTCATGATCTTGGATTTTTAAAATTTTCAAATCTTTATTTCTAAAAAAGATTGAAAATTTTAAAAATCCAAGATTATGACAAAGCCTTGCAGAAATGAAAGAAACTTTTAAATGGCTGTTCTGGAAGAACTATTTTTTTGAGTTGTGTCACTATTCTTGTGCACCAGTGCTATGTGCATCATCATGGCGGTGGTCGCGACTGTGAATCAATAACTAGTGATGTTAAACAATTGGCGGCCTGCTGGCGGCTCCTCTCCAGGAGTAGTCCATCGGGAGTACGAACAGTTGCAACTGCTGCACATGGGTAAAATTTTACCCTTTTAACGTGTGCAAGACGATTATATTGTCATATAGATCACAGTTGCTTTTACAATTGTTTTTAAAAATAATGTTCCAAAGTTCGAACAAATAAATTTTATTATTATTATTATTTTTTTATGTCAGTGGGCTTAAGTCCCTGTGGATCTGATCTACCATGGCTGTTATGAGAGAGAGCTAATCTGTTGTTTGTTAACATATATATACACATACATAAACACAGTCAAATTGCATTAATACAAAGTTGGAGGAACTTAAAATTTGGCACTATGTGTGTTAATTAACTATACAAAACAAATCAATGAATCAATGGTTATACCCACAAATGGAAAAAGCCAAATTTTCTTCAGTATCTTAAACTCCAAAGAACCTTAAGGTACAGAATAGACAAAATTTATTGACAGAACTAATGTTTTCAATCTTGTTTAAAGGTCGTTGTCAGGTTCTAAAGATGAAACAAAAATTGAACAGAAAAACAAAATTCAAAAATATTTGTCAGTATTATAGATATTGTCACATGCACAGGCATTGAATATATAAAAAGTAATTACAAAATAAGATAAAATAATGGTACGTACAATTTTATTATATCTAATATGGATAACTGGATGCCACTTGTGCCATATATGGTAAAATCTTGTTTTAACAGATTGCTTGGGCTGCTGAAAATCATCTGTTGTTTTGAGGATTGTGAACAATGGATTTCTTGCACACCCAGGAAAATATCTGTCATTTGAAAAAAAAATTTAATTTTTAAATTACTAACATATAAGAAATACCTGTACTTGAAATTATTCAATCTCATGAGATCTCTATTCTTTATTCTATAGAAACATGTATGCTACAAGATTGTATACTATGCTGTATGTGTGTACAGTACAACAAAGTTGATGGAAACTATATACTGTAGCACAAATAGAAACAAATTGCATGTATTCATTAGCACTTCACTTGACTTCATAACTTGTTAAAAGACTCATCCATCTTGATTTATTTTGAAGCTGCTTTTCTGCCTATTTGAATACAACAACTGCTTGATATAAGCAAAGTCATGTATAGCCTGCTTGTTTAAGCTGAAATTTGTCAGAAGGTCTTCATGACTTGGAAAGACTCAATAACCTTGCTAAATTTTGGCACTATCCTTGGTCCAGTGTCAGAATGTTCACTAGTGGCTCTTCCTCAATAGTATCATTCTGCTGACTCTCTTTGTACAATTCTTCAATTGTACATATTCCAGATGTAACAAGGGCATCAACAAACTCGACAAATTCCTGGAAACACCCAAAGGTTGTTTCCAGGAAAGATGGAAAGACACACTTTCCATTTTTTCAATCTAAAGGTTGAAAAAATGTTGAAGGGCTATGATATACATATCTGACAGAAAAATTGGCAATAAAATACTTCTAAAACAGTAATCATCTTACTCTTCATATAATTAGTGCCAAACAACAAAGTCACAATTAGTGAATACTGCCATTTAACATCAAAATCTGTTATTCCAAATTATAGATCTACTAAAAAGAGGTAAAATTACATTGAGTTGGTGGACCTGGGAAAAAAATCTGTTATTCCAAGAAATCCATTGTTCTGTGATTTGTTAAAAAAAAAGCTTCTTCTGTAATTGTATTAGAGAATGTTTTCTATTTTAGGAAAAATACTTTCAGACAGAGATAACACTTAATTTTTTTAAAGCAGCTACTTTATATTTTACTCAAATGCCACTGATTCCATCCTTTTTTTTAATGATTCTACATCAATCACTGAACCATTGAATATGCTGTTAATCTTATCTATTACTTTCATTCATCCTTTTCTTAAGTATTTTTTGAAATATTTTCATCTAATTTCCCATTAACTAATTATGCATGCTTTTCTAACTAACTTAAGTTAAAATTTCTGTTTGTTACAAGACATTACCTAAAACATTTTGACATTACAATCTATCAAAACATTATAAAACTTATCTTTGACAAAATCATGTGCTATATTAGAATCTTGTGCTTTCCTTGCCATATGATTTATAATTTTTACTCTGTACTTTCAAAAGTTTTACAATTTCATTGGTTAAAATTCTGTACTGTATTGTGTATACAGATAACCCAAACTTGTATAATTAACCTAGTAGAATCATTATGTCAACAACAAACATGAGAACATTATGAGTGATCAGAATCGCCTTTGTCTCTTATTTTAATGTCTTTGAAAGAAGACACGTGAGATAAGTGACCAGAATATGGCCCTTGGACTTATATCCAAATTTTCCACGGTAGCAAATTAATAGCTGTATTGTCTTGGTTATCGAATCACCATTATTTTCTGTTAGATACAGTAGAATCCTGACTATCCAAGATTATGTGGATTGATGCTATCTTATTCATTGAGTCAGATAACTGGTAAATGAACTAGATCAGATAAAATGAATGGCCATGGCCATTTCAGATTAAAAATTAAGCATATAAAAGATTTATATAGTATCACTTCTAAGCTTTTTTTTTTTACCTTATTGAATTTAATCATATATGAAAACATTTTTTTACATCACTTATTGTACAACTAATTCATACAATAGTTTTAAGAATAAAAATGTATATTATTGTAGTTACATTTTAACACAAATAGTTTGTCTCTCATTAAACTTAAATGATTAAAGGTAATAGAAGTAAACTATTTTGTAATATGTATTATTGTTTTAAACTTTATCTTATGAATTACAGCGTAAGAAAAGTGGTGAATTCACTTATAGGTTTGCCTCGGATAATGTATAAATATGGATAGTGTGTTAATTGGGCTTGGACAGTTGGTTTTACTATATTAAAATGTACTCATGTATGATAGGAACTTATATAAATTCTGGAAATATTTTGTATATACAGTTAAATGTAGTTGTAACAAAATACACTGGATGACAAAAAAAATAACGCACCATGAAGGACTTGTTGGATTTGAATAAAAATTGGTATATGACATCGTCATTGCTAGATAGATATATGATTGCAACCATAAAACAAAAACATACTTTATTGTGCAGTAATATGCAATACAGTGCAGGTACTAATATCCTGTTGGGCCTCCTCTAGCGCGGATACAAGCTGTGATACGCCTCGGCATGGAGGCATAAAGGTTGCGAATAATGTTCTGAGGCATATCTGTCCATGCATGATGCAATTGGGACTCAAGATGAGTCAGATCCTGTGGCTGTCGCAGCTGGCGACCCAAGTGGTCCCACACATGTTCGATTAACGATAAATCTGGAGATCATGCAGGCCAAGGAAGTGTGGAAACGTTATGTAGGCATGCTTGGGAGACCGCTGCAGTATGTGGCCGGGCATTATCCTGCTGGAATATGCCTGTCGGAAGCCCTGCCATGAGGGCAACACATGTGGCTGGAGGATGTATTGCACATATCGTTTGGCTGTGAGGGTAGTACGCATGACAACTAGAGGTGTCCTACTGTCGTATGTTATGGCTCTTCACACCATAACACTGGGGGTTGGGCCCGTGTGCTGCTCCACGGTATAGGCCGGATTGACACCTTGACCAGCGGGCTGCCATACTCTCACACGGCCATCGTGAGCCCCCAAACAAAAGCAGGATTCGTCGCTGAACACAATATGCTGCCAGTCGGTAGCGGTCCACGATTGTCATGCACGACACCACTGCAGACGGAGGCGTCGGTGGGTGGCTGTTAACGGTAGAACACATACTGGGCGTCGGGAGATCAATCCGCCTTCTACTAAGCGCCTGGAAATGGTGCGGCTGGATACACGGTTCCGTAATGCAGGTGCCACCGCTGCATGAATGGTAGACGATGAAGCTGTAGGCGCTGTCCGTGCTTGACGTACAATGAGACGATCCTCCCTTCTGGTGGTCTGTCGATAGCGTCCGGAACCCGTTTGCCGTTCGTGTGTACCCCTACTTACCCACTGCTCATAACACATCCTAACAGTTCTATCAGAACGGTTCAGATGGTGGCCAATCCGGCGGTATGACCATCCTCCTTCTCTCAATCCAACGATGTGACCTCTCTCAAACTCACTTAACTGAGTGTAAGGCTGTCGAATGCGTCGTAGAGGCATGTCTGTCACTCAATGAAGTCAAAACCATGAATAAAAGTGCAGAACATATGCACAAGTCGTCACAGCGTGCACCTTTATACCAGGCAGCGAAAACATTTTTTCCCCTCTGGTGGCGATATAACACAAGAACCTACTCTCAAAAGCTAATCATTTACATATCTAGCTAAGATGATGCAACATATAAATTTTTATTCAAATCCAACAAGTCCTTCATGGTGCGTTATTTTTTTGTCGTCCAGTGTATATATGATATGACAAATAAAGAATTAAAACAAAGTGAAGATTAATTGATGAATTAATTTTTAAAAATTATTTAAAAGATAGAAATTTTGATGAAGACAAAAGAAGATAACATTTTGCAGGCCTTTGGTTTTGTGTGAAGAGACATTATTTTGTTTATGATAGAGATTATTATGATTTAGTTTAACAATCAGACATTTATTTGCTCTCTAGTGATTCTGCATTAAAGAATATGTCAAAATTCTGAGAATACTAAAAATTTATTATTAGTGAATTCTCTACATTTTTCAATTTTCTTATTTTTAAGAATATTTATTTTATCTTTGATCATTGCAGTTTTCTTTCATTGAGTATTATTCATTGAGTCATATAATGATATTGCTGCCAAAATGTCAATGTGATTTGTAATTGATTATGATCAGTGAATTTATCAAGTCCATAGTAATTAAAACTAAGCATGCTGTTTAGTTGAATGTCAGCTGACTAGTTAAATATTTTGTGCTAGTCATGATTAATTTGCAAGTTACTTAGAATACTTATAGTTAGAAATTAAACTGATTTCTTTTTAAGATTTAAAAATAAACTTAAAACAACTTTCATTAAAAACATAACTGTAGACAATCCAAACAGTATCTTCACTTGTCCTTTTTCATGTCAGGAACTAATCTAAAATACATTGAGGTTTACCTTTTACTTGAGACCATGATCTCAATTAATTATGTAAAAGACAAAATGTCCACAGTGATTGGATAATAATATAAAAATAAATATATTACATTTTTTAGGACAAGTAAAAACATTGTTTGAATAGTATACATTCTTTTTTATAATGAACTTTACTGTTTTGGATTTTTAAAATGTAATTAAAATAACTTTAGTAACATGCATAAACAAAGTTTCCATAAAGTTGAAGATACATTTTCTTATAATGAATATTTCAAAAGAAAAGACAATTCTACATTTTTAAATCTTCATATCATTTGCAGATTTGACAAAGACTATTTAAAACAGACAATCAAAATTAAATGTTTTTGGTTTTAATTTATTCCATATTCTTTGTTCCTGCATCATTCATTTTCTTGCAATGTTTGTTCTACATTTTAACTGAAAGAAAAATGTTATCCCAGATCAATTGTTTTACTCACAATAGAGGGTGCTAAATTGAAACACTGATTTTCATGTACTAAAAATGACTTTAGTAGTAGTAACTGTAGTTAAAGGGTTTAACTGTTAAATTTGATGTACTAAAGCATGTTGAATTTAACAGTTAAACCCTTTGATTACAGCTAACCAGTTTTTATTGTGATTTGGCTACTTTTTTCCTACTGTTTTACAAAATAGTTTATTTTATTGGTGGCATTTCCTCTTAAAGTTGGACAACACTGGTAAAAATTAGCATGTCTCAGTGTTGCCATCTGTATGACAATTATCGTATTTGCACAGTTATTTTGAGTGCCGTGTGATGTATGATAATAGGGTTTTGTATGATAATTTCATAAATATGTCTTACTCTGAAAACAACCATTAATTATTAGAAAAAACCAATTTGCAATCACTATTTTTATATGTATTGCCTTTTCATTGATTTTCGTGGCTGTTTTTGCTGCTAGATGGCTACTAAATTTTTGGAAGTTTTTAGATTGGCTACTATATATATTCTTGATTATAAGGCACATCTTTATCATACTTTTTGAGATTGCTAACTGCTGTACTTTTAGACCTAATGAGAAAATGCTCAGATTGATGTGAAAAGAAAATTTGTGCAAATAAATGTTTTGTTGAAATGCCATTATGCTTCTACTTGTATAAAATGTAATAAAATGTATTCATGTAATACCTATAGAGTAGTTTCCATCTAGTGAACCGGCTAGAACTGGAAGTTTTTTGGCATAAGGAGTTGAGACCACTCAAGTAGTGGACTAAAAATTTTAGACAGCTGCAAAAATTTGGAAAAACTAAGGTTTATGCATATGAAATAAGTATGGTATATAAAAAAAGATGTGTTACATATTTGTTAATAATATATTGAAATTGTGTGAAAAAATAAATTTTAGCTCATGCTCATTCAGAGGTTTGTTTCATCATATATTATAAGGGAGAATCATGAAACTTCATTGCTAAATGGAGTCTAAAAATTTTTTGTTATAAGAAGGGATTGCAGATAAAAGTTTATGAGATTCTGACATAGGGCAAACCTTGTTAATATTTCTATGGATAAAGGGCATAAGTATAAAGGATCGAGATGGATGTACAATAATTTTTTGTGAAATACAATAATTTCAAGGGGCAGATACAATGATTTTCTCCAATCAGGTTGGGAACCCTGTCTTGTCTTGAGGTAGGAGAGATCATGTTTGGACAAGCGAGAAAAGTCATAACTCTTTTCCATAAGACAATTAACACATTGTAAGTGACAAAAATTTATCATTTTATTTATGTTTTCAACACTTTAAAGATATCATCTTCAAGTGCAAGAAAAGAGTCAATACATTAAGTATTCTTCCCAAAGGAAAATAGAACAAATTTCAGTATTCATAACAATTTTTTAAAATAAAGAATAAATGAATGTCCGTGCACATGCTCTATATCATTTAGTATTACAGAAAGCAGCCATAAAAGCTTACCACTGAAAAATACACATTTCATATGAGATAAAACATCAATATCATAAATTTCCTATAAATTTTCTGTGTTAGTTGATTTCCTGCATCAGTCATTTTTTCCCTCCAAGTTCCACCAAAAACAATAGATTGAGAATCCACTTATATTGTTTAATTTTTACATAAAATGTATGAATTATTTTAATCTCTTTGTGGAACCCTTGTATGCAAGTTGACATTTAAATCTCTCATCTGTTATTGGAATAGAGTATATGCTCGGTGCATTATTATAGTTTATATCATCCTTACTGTTACAAAGCAACTTGTATATTGTGAGGTTTCTCTGAAAATAAACTTTGACTTCCAAATATTTAGCTATTTGCTTGTGAATGGATGATAATCTATGGTTGTAATCTACAGTTATTTGCCTATTTGCTGTGGCATGTAAATTTATGTTGGTATTTTTTTTGTCGTGAATGGTTTATAAATTGATTTTTTATTTCATCTGCCAGGTTCTGTATTAGTTTTTTACTATATCCATATGTTGTAGCTATTCTTTCTATACATATGAGCTCTGCTATAGTGTTCATGCTGTCCAAACAGTATAAGTAAAAGGGTCATATGACTTCAATGGTATGGATAATGGGTAATAATCAGGTTTGTAGAACACCTATATGTTAACATATCCATTTTCGAGAGTAATATCTATATCTAGATAATTTTATTATGTTTATATTACTGTCAGGCTTTGATTCAAAAATAGAATTTCTTTCAATTATTTTCTTGAATTTTTAAAAATGATTTTATTGTTGCTCATTTAATATATAAATTCATAATGGAAAGTATTTATATAATATATATACAATTCAATGAATTATGAAGAATAGATAAGTATTTTAAAAATAATATTCAGAGTAAGATGAAGATAGATCAGTTAAACATGAATGTTACTTTGTTTAGTTTGAAACACATACAAGTAACTATAGGCAAATTTATTAAAAAGAATGATAATATGATGAATAAAAATTATTCTCAACTTTATTTTGTTCATACAATTGTCAAAATATTACTAGTAATTATAATTTGTAATTATTAATGTAAACTTACACATATTTATTTGTAATTATGATTTTAGCTACCATAAGAAAACCTGATGCAGTTGCAAGAGATCAGTTGAGTCAGTTTGGATGTTATGTTGCTGAGTGCTTACCTAAGTATGTTCAGAAAGTTCAGCTAACTTACTGGAATGAACTAGAAGTTATGATTGCTCCTGAAGGAGTAATTCCAGTTTTATCATTTCTAAAGGATCATCACAATGCTCAGTTTGAAAATATGGTTGATATTGCTGGTGTTGATGTTCCATCACGTCAAAATAGGTTTGAGGTAAATTATATTTAAAAATATATTTATAAAATGTTTATAATATATTTGTAAGAAATGACATGTCTTTTTTTAAAAGATATCTTTTCTTTTAATCTTAATAGATACAATATCAGTTATTAATAAAATACAGCATATGATTTTAAAAATATTAAAAATATGTTGTATTAGAAATATAAAAATAGAAAATGTTTTAAAAAATCAGTTTAAACATTGACAATATGACAAATTATATAAAATATTTAGCATATACTTATTACAATAAGTTTCAGCCAAAAAAAAAAAAAATTTTTAAATTATTCAATAGAAATAAAATATTTTGTCTGCTTGGTATGTAATTTGGACATCAATCTGAAATGAATTGGAATTGCATATGAATTAAATTACAGAAGGAAGATAGTGAATTTTGAACAGTATAGACTCTGGGGTAAGATGATGATGTCTATTACAAAATTAATTACGACTTTGAAAAAAGGCTTTTTAATAAAAAAAAAAATAAACTCAGAAAAAATTTTTAAAAAACAAAATATTTTTACGAAAAATCAACTCATAAAAATATTAGTAATACATATTGTTTCATCATATTTAAGTGATTTTTTTAAATAAAATTAATTTTTCAATAACACTATTAATATTATAAAAATAAAAAGAGGTTACACGTGCTCTTGCACAACTTTCCTGGNTGATGAGGCTGTAAAGGCGAAATGCATTTGGAACGTGATTTGAAAACTATGAAAATAAAAGAATTAACATTGGTTAAAGTAAAGTATCTTTGTTGATTACTATTTGTCCGCTAATATAAATCACTCGAAGTCGGTCTAAGAAAGAGTGTTTTAATTTACTCGTCTATTTTTAGAAATTATATTTTTAGTTTTGTAAGGGTTTAAAATTTTTGTGTTCCTGCAGTGTCAAAATGTTGAGAAATACAAAATAAAACTGGGGGTTCAAAGTTTGACTCATCACCATACTTTCCTTATATTATATTCTATAACAGCTGGAAACATAATATGGGAATAAACTATAGTTCTAAGTGGACACTTGAGGGATTAAGAAGAAACACTCATCAAATATATTTTATTATTTCAGTCATCTTTTAAATATAATTATTTAAAAGTAGAATATGATATAAATTTTTACACATACCCACGCTTCTCACACATACAGAAATAAAATAGTTTGTTTTAAATAATAATTAAAAAATTCACACAAAATTTTTACAGTAGTACACTGTAAAAAATACTTGTGTGACTTTTACAAGACAATTACATTTTTTCCCCTAGCATACTGTTTAATTATATAAGATATAATTTAATACAATAGTAATAACAATATAATAAAATTTTAAAGGTGTAATTATAAAATTTTCAGATTGTCTACAATTTATTATCTTTGCGTTATAATGCTCGAATACGAGTTAAAACATATGCAGATGAATTAACACCCATTGATTCAGCAAATGATATTTACAAAGCAGCTAATTGGTATGAAAGAGAGGTCAGTTTTTTCTATTTTGATAATATTTCTAAACTTTTTAAAATTTAAAGAACTTCACACTATATATAGAATTAAAGATATAGTTATTTTATATAATTATTAATTCAATTCTAGAAATAATTAATATAAGAGTAATGGCAATTTAAAAAATAAAGAAAATTGTAATTTGTATTTAATACTATTTTATTCTTTAAGTTCATTATTGAAATAATAATGAGTTTACTTAAAGAATGATAGAATAAGTTTAATCATTAACTGACAAATTTTAAGAAAACACAAGTTACAGTCAAACTTTTCTAAACTGGAATCAGGCAGATTTAAAATATCATTCCAGCTTGAACAGGTTTCCAGAATTTACAGTGAACTTTGTCTATGACAGAAAACAAAACGCTAAAATGAAATCAGTTTTTATTTCAAATTAACTGTAAAGATAAAACATAATATGTGTCAAACTCATATTTCTGATTTTAATGCACAATATGTAACAGTTATGCAAAGTTAATACATATTTAAGTAATTATTGAGTAACTATTTACTGAAAATAATCATTAATTATTTTTTATTTTTTTTTTAACTCTGTTACACTTTCTTTTCTGTTAGTGTCTGTAGTTCTAAAAGATTTTAACATAGGAGTGTATTCTATTCATTGGTAACTGAGTGGATAAAACCACTAAACACTGGTGGTTAGTGGTGGGTTCCCGCCTCATCAACGATTGGCCACTTAGAGTTTTCTGGGTTTTCTTCACATTTGTAACACCTAAATACAGGACATTTTCCCTTAGAAAGTCATCTTGGTAGACATCCCTCTTGGCAGATCAACCCATGTGTCACATTGCTATATACAAATAAACTAAACTACAGAATTTGATAAACTTTTTTGTCACAACTAAATTTTCTGCAGAGTTCTTTAACACTTGTGTGAATGAACTCTGCAGAATGTTTTTTGTTCATGTTTTAGATTTTAAATGATTTTAGTGTGTTTATCATTATTCCTGACATTCCTGCCATTCTGAATTACGGTAAATAACAACTGATACTGTTAAGTTGCACTATACAACAGTGGTGTGCCATCCATGGAAGCTGTGGAAGTTCCGCTTCTCTTGTATTTTCTAAAATTTATATTTTAGAAATAAACTAAACCAAACCACAGAATTTGATAAACTTGTTTGTCTATGACAGAAAACAAAACTCTAAAATTAAATCAGTTTTATGAATACATATTGTGCAATTATTTTCATATTTTAAAGTACTTTGAATTAATTAAAATTAATATTTTATTATAACTGCATTATGAAATTTTATGTGTAGAAATATGTGTAGAAATTTTATTACAAATTTCTACACATGTGAAAAACAATGATAAAATTGCTATTGTATACAAGGTCTGTTCAAAAAGTATCGGACCTTATTTTTTTCCGCGTAAACCAATGATGCGAGAGAGGCCTCCTTCGGTGGAGTTGTGGAGGGGACAGTCATGCACAGCCCTGAATTTTTTCCCGCCTGCAGGAAGCGTCAGTCGTTGGCAATCGGCGTATGAGTGAGGTCATGTAGTGCGCTCTCGTCGGATTTCACTAAGCTGGAAAATGACTGAACAACGTGAGCAGCGATATTACATCAAATTTTGCCAAAAACCTTGGCGATACCCGAGTGTAAACCATTCGCAAGATTCAGCAGGCTTTCGGGGACGATCCTCGAGGCCAAAAAAAGCGCGGCAGGTCCGCAGCAATATCAAAGGTCATGTTGACAGTTTTTTCGACTCTCGTGGGGTGGTGTGTCGTGAGTACGCACCACAAGGCCAAACCATCGCAAAGGAGTACTACCAGGAGGTCCTTCGTCGTCTTTCCGATACAGTGCGACGCAAACGACCGGATCTGTGGTCGATCAAAACTTGGCAGCTCCATCGTGATAACGCATCCGCCCATTCTGCGCATCTGATTCGGGCTTTCGTCGCCAAACACAATACTCCTGTGGTTCGTCACGCTCCGTACTCTCTCCACATGGCTCCGTGTGACCTTTGGCTATTTCTCAAGCTGAAAATGCCGCTAAAAGGAACCCAAATTTAGTCGAGAGAAGACATCATGCGAAATGCGACGGACCGGCTGATAACCATTCCAAAAGATGCGTTCCAGCAGTGTTTCCAGCAATGGCAGGAACGCTGGGAGAAGTGTATACATTACCAAGGAGACTACTTTGAAGGGGATTAGGGTTTTGTACCTCAAAGTCAATAAATTTATTTTTGCCGACCAAAGGTCCGATACTTTTTGAACAGACCTTGTATTTGAATGTAAATTCATATATGCATATTCCCAATGGAAGCATGGTATTGTCAAATACAAGATAGCTTTCATGGCAAAAATATTTGAATCATGTGAAGTAGTCAGAATACAGGCATTTGCACATGTGCTTTACAGAGCACCAACTTCATGCAGTTTAGCTTTTGGATGCTACACACCAAAATATCGTATAACGCTTCCAATGATTCTATCCAGGGCCAGCACAGCTTCTCTATCATCAAATGTCACTGCACGCCACTGCTGTACAATGATGATTTTTGTTTAAGCTAACACCCTAATGGTAAGACTGAAAATAGAAAACACATGGTTTCTGCACTTTATTTATGCTTGATTCTGTCTTAAGCAGATTGTTTTCCTTTTGTAGATTTAAAATTGCTTTGTGTGTTCACATTAAGCAGTTTCTGGCTTATACAGTTGAAATTATATTAACTTGTATATTACATAATATGGGACTAAAAAACAATTCGTAATAATAATAAGCAGGTTTCCATCTTACTGAGAGTCCAGCTTTAAACAGTTTTCACTGTATGTGTTTTCTTGAAATTTGAGCTATGTTTTGTTTATGTGATTACTGTATATTTCTGCAGATAAAATGACCTTCAGATAAGACGAGGTATAAATTTTCGTTAAAGTTTTATAGTTTTAGCATATATCTGTCCTACAAGACAACTCCCAAACTATCAATGGCCTATGAATTTAGTTTAGATCATTGATCATCATCTGATGATAATACTGTATAGCATATATGGAATTATGTCCTATTCATAATTTTTTGAATGAACATATTTTATTTTCTTGCATCTGACAGCACTGCCTTGCTGTTGTTGCAAACATTCTCACTGATTTGGGCATTTGGATAATGACCTTGAATATTCACAAAAATGTCATATGGGCTATTCTATTTTGTGGACATACCCTACTCTCTACTAATAAATAATTACGGTTTGTCCGGTTTTTTTATAATGGTTTTAATTTATATAAATTTCAATCTAATTTTTTTTTTGTATCTGTCCTATAAGACAACCCTGGATTTTGGGGGCCTTTTTTTATGATTCAAGTATCGTCTTATCTGTGGAAATATACAGTATATTTTTATTGATACATATATACATTTATGATTGTATGTAAGAAAGTCATTAAATAAGAGGAATTTTAAACTAAAATTTGTGGAAATGTAAGCACTGAGAAAAATCTTTCTGCAGGACACAAAATGAATGCTTAGTAATATGCTATGTAGGATTTGTGATGATTGAGCAGTATGCACCTGTGAAATAGCTCATACAACATTGCTGCACCACTATTACATTGCACTTTGGAAGAACAACAAAGTTTCATATGTTTTTTCATTGTCAGAGGGAATAAAATCTGAAATCTACAGCAGAATGAAGGTTCAGTATGTATATACAGTAGAGCGTCGATTATCCGAAAGTCAATCATCCAAAATGTCAATCATCCAAAAGAATTCCAGTTGGCAAGTTTAAATTTTCGCCAGTGCTGTGGTGCTGGAATCTTTGGCTGTCTTGGGCTACTCAAATATTTTACATTTTTGATACTAAATTAACTTCTGAAGTATAATTTTTATTGTTTTTATATTTTTCAATATATTTATTTTGTTCGTACAAAATAAAAAAATAATTTTTAACGATACAATAGTCTTCATTAGGCTTAACATTGATGAAAATTCAACACGAAGTGACACGCAACGGAGAAAAATGTCAAGATGGGATAAATTAATATATTTTTTCGTACATAATCGGTTATCCGAAACATCGATCTTCTGAACAACCCCAGTCCCCAATTGATTTGGATAATCGACGCTCTACTGTAGTTGTTTGAGTCAGGGAAGAGTGTATGAATGGGTGAAAAGATTTAAAAACAGAAGACAAAACATCGATGATGAACACTGGAATGGGAGACTAGTTTGCATGGCATGTTAAAGAGCCTATATTTGTGCACTTTCAGGGAAAGGGTTAAACTGACTAATATTAAATACAGTGACATACTGGTGAACAAGTTGAAGTTCACAATATGATCTAAACATTGGTGGCTTCTCTCAAAAGAAGTTTTACTGAGTGACAACACCTAGCCCCATATTGCTGTGCATACAGTAAATACACTAAGTGATCTGAAATTTGAGGTGATGAAACATCTACAATATAGTCTGGACTTGGCACTATTTTCATTTGTCGGACCTTTGAATGAACATTTGAGAGTTAAAAGTTTGATGATGATACCAAGGTAATAGAAATGGGTCAAAGCTGGTTAAAGGCCACATGAAAAAGCTTTTTTCTTGAGGGCATCTGGAAGCTTGTGAACTGATGGATTAAGTGTGTTGTGAAGCAGGGTGACTATATCAAAAAATAAGGGGCAAACTATTTCTTTAAGTACTCTTATAATAAAATTCCTGTTATTTAATGACTTTCCCTCATATTAATGCAGTAGTTAATAATAAATAAACTTCATTATTTTCTTTAATAACTTCTTAGATTTGGGATATGTTTGGAGTATTTTTTGCCAATCATCCTGACTTACGAAGAATTTTAACAGATTATGGATTTGAGGGCCATCCATTCAGAAAAGATTTTCCTTTAAGTGGCTATGTTGAGGTATTGATTAGAATAACTCACCATTTTATATAAAAATTAAACAATATATACAAGATGATCTATTGCAGCATTTCTCAAACTTTTTGCTTACATAACCCAAATGTTTATAATATAAAATTTTTAAACTGGTAAACTGGAGTCACTATATATAACAAAATAAAATTATGCATTATTGATAACTTATACATGTGAAATGTAACATTGAGTACATTTCTATTAAGAGCAATTTAAGCCAGTTTCAATTTATAACGAGTAACTTACTTCAATTTCAGTTTTTATTATTGAAATTTTAACTATTAAAAAGTGTAAGACTGGCAATTGTAAATAAATTTCAGGAGTTTCAAAATTATTCAAGAGTCTATTTTATTTTGAAAAATATTGCGAGTTTTTATTATAAACTTAATGAATCCTAATACAATTTCTGTAATAACTCAGGATATTATTCTTCATAATTGAAGTTTTAGACTATTTACAAAAATGTCAAATTTTTGAGTCTATCTCCATCCTTTTTTTATACAACACCAGAAGGAACAGTTAACATGGCTTTTCATTGAAGAATAACTTCTTAAAAAACAAAGGTAAACAAGTAAAACGAGAGATCACAATGTTAAAAACGATCAAGTGTCAGCCTTCTATTGTAGGTTCTGACACTTTACATTAAAAACATGAAGAATTCTTCTCACCATACTGTCCTCATCCATTCTTTAACTGCTTCAGGCCCTCTGGTGGTAATTTCGAGTTATCCTACTTATTTGCATATTAATACAATTTAAAATTTGACATTTTTGTAAATAGTCTAAAACTTCAATTATGAAGAATTATATCCTGAGTTATTACAGAAATTGTATTAATATGCAAATAAGTAGGATAACTCGAAATTACCACCAGAGGGCCTGAAGCAGTTAAAGAATGGATGAGGACAGTATGGTGAGAAGAATTCTTCATGTTTTTAATGTAAAGTGTCAGAACCTATAATAGAAGGCTGACACTTGATCGTTTTTAACATTGTGATCTCTTGTTTTACTTGTTTACCTTTGTTTTTTAAGAAGTTATTCTTCAATGAAAAGCCATGTTAACTGTTCCTTCTGGTGTTGTATAAAAAAAGGATGGAGATAGACTCGAAAATTTGACATTTTTGTAAATAGTCTAAAACTTCAATTATGATTAATGAATCCTTTTTTAAAATGTACTTTTCAGATTGTAAGAAGATTTTGTACATAAACGAAAAAAGGAAAAATTCCTTAAAAATCATTTATTGATTCACTTGGGTCAAAATTTATCTGTTATTTATTTTTTATAATTTATTGTTATGTATGACAATAAACCTAAAAGTTTGAATAAACAATAAAATATTTTCAAAAGCATTGCAATTTAAATGGTTTTACAACTGTAACTTTACATAAAATATCTATTTTGATGTTATTCAAAATACAAGAGAGAAATCAATTTTATATACACACATTCTATAATTTTAATTTTATTATTAAATAACAATAATAATTATAAGAAAAAGAGTTGTTAAAATTTTTCAGTACTTAATTGATGCACCTATTTTTCCTAGTTCTTAGAGAAAATTTCAGTAATACAAGTATTACAAGTATTTTTGTGGAATGTCCTATTATTTCACAACCTATTAAAATTTTAATATGATCCAATATTGGGTCCTGATCCATAGTTTCAGAAATGCTGATCTATTGTATATTTATGAATAAATTAATTTTTTAAAACATAATTATATGAAACTTTTTTATGTATAACATTTCTTATTAAAAATTATTAAAAATAGATATGATAAAATAGTATTTTGTAAAGTGTCTTTCATATGTAGAATTAAAGATCTTTTTTCTATTTTGGAAAATGATGATATGTTCTAAATAAAAGCTACTGCTGTTGATGTTTGAATTATGTTCATATACTGAACTGTAAAAAATGTTTTAGAAGCTAGAATTTTATGATGTGTTCAATTTTACTATTTCTTTAAAATAAATTAAAGCTTGAAATCTTTACACTATTTTTGTGGAACGACTGGCATCCAGTCTATCCAGGGGGACACAATGAAATCAGATATTTCCTTATGGTAAAAACCAGCATGCCACATTCCCCCGGGATAAGCTGGCATGCCTGTTTAAGTGAGGCTATACATCCCTGTGTACAGGGTGCATTAAAAAAAAAATGAACGAGTTATGCCAAATAAAAACAAACAAGTTTTTATTCTAAAGCAGTGAAACTGTCAGCATTATATCAAAAACTACAGTTATATGTTTAATTTTTTTATTTTGTCTTCTTTCTAATGACACAAAATACTCTTGGAATTCCAAAAGTATTGTTTTAATGTGTATTTTATTATTTTTTAATTCAAAAATGCAAAAATAAACATATTAAATTAAAAAAAACTGGCAGTAAATTATCTCAGCTTACACAATTAACATCTGCTTTGAAATTTGAGAGGAAGGTGTAATTTTTAAGGTCAGGGTAGATAGTCAATGTAGCCCACACTGATTAACTACTTTTACTGCTACTAATGCCAGTATGTTGTTAATTGTTTTATTGTCTTGTAGAAAAAAATTTTTTTCATGATTTAAATCTTTAATGATTTAAAATTCTTTTCATGATTAGTCAGTCAAATTACAATGCTATTATTTTATTGTACTTGGAAGAATATTTTCTTTAACATTTTCTTGGAAGAATATTTTCTTTAAGTAACAACTAGTTTTGTTAGATCCAATTACTTTTATATTTTAGTCACAGTTTAACCAGCATGCTGGTAACATTGGGATTTCTGGCATGCTGGTTTCTGTTTATATGCAGCATGCCAGTCATTCTGTGGAAATACAGTATTTTTATCTATAACCTACTACAATATTAGATCATATTTAACAACTGTATTATCACATTCTGTTATAAAGTTTAATTATGTAATTTTTCTTTTGAAAAAATAATAGTTATTATATGAGAATATGAATATTTATTTATTTTAAATAATTTGAAAACATTAGGATTAGTATAAATCATAAAATTTTCTTAAAGTTAATGGTCAGATGTTTTGTAATAGGTAAACTTTTTAGTTTATAAATCAAATAGGAATCTTCATATATTACTTTAATATCAAATAATTGAAATTTTCACTAATCAGCATTAATTTTTTAATTAACAAGTACTTTTAGCCTTTTTAAAAGCTATCATCAGCTTTCTACATACAGGATATCCTCATTAGTTTGAAATTGAAGTGACAAAATAATTGTGACTTTGAATTATTGAATTTTGAATTATCTGAGATTTACATATTTCTATACACTATGCTAAATGCCATTGTAGCATATTGTAACTGATATAATTTATTAAGCAAATGGAGCACAGCTACATATACAATGCTGTTTTTGTTAATTAATAGTAATAATATAAATAAACTGCTTAATATATAAATTTATAAATAATATTATAAAAATTTATAAATAATATTACTTGTATTATTTATAAATAAGATAAATGGCACATATCCAGTGAAAATCTCGCAAGTTGCCAGATAGGTTTTATATAAGTAAAGCAGAATTCCTTAAAATATGGTCCAAATTATTTTTAATGCAGTCCAAAAAGTAGTAAGTTGTTCAAATATAGCAGTGTAGAGTTCTACAAATATTTCAGTCTGCTATTTGATAGCCCAATCTTTAATCCTGAAACTTGGCCATATTTTATGACTTAAGAGAAAAAGAGTAGTCCATAGGTAAGGTGATACTGGAAAATGTGTTACTGTAAAAGCAAAGATGTATTGATCTAATTAGAGTTGTTTTTGGTCTATTGTTTTCTTACAGTATGGAAGCACTTTGATCTAAATCAGCGCTGTCCAACTGGCGGCCCGCGGGCCGTATACGGCCCGCCAAATAATTTTTACGACCTGCGAGTACATTTTACTATAAATAAATTTATGTTACTAAATTATTATTATTAATATTAAAATTATTTTACTACCGTGTTTCCCTGAAAATAAGACAGTGTCTTATATTAATTTTTGCTCTGAAAAATGCGCTAGGTCTTATTTTCAGGGAATGTCTTATTTTTTCCAGGAAGAAGAATTCACATNAACTACCGTGTTTCCCCGAAAATAAGACAGTGTCTTATATTAATTTTTGCTCTGAAAAATGCGCTAGGTCTTATTTTCAGGGAATGTCTTATTTTTTCCAGGAAGAAGAATTCACATTTATTATTGAACAAAAAAATTCCCAAGTCGAACTTAGACGAGAGTGACGTATATCCGGTGTGTCGAACTGTCGCCTTTTTATAGCGTCAACATCGGACTCGATGACCAATTAGTGCTTACTGAACCGTAGCACTATGCAAATGTGATGTGACGTGATTCCCGGCCGACCAATTAGCCATCACAAACCTTCTCGGCCCCCAAAATGTTCGGTGAAAAAAATATGGCCCGCGGGCTATGATAAGTTGGACAGCGCTGATCTAAATGAATGTTAAACATACACATATCACACTTTGAACAGAATTTTCACTTTGAATTTCAAAGTAGTCATATTTTGAACTAACCAAATTCCTTAACGTGTAAATCTCTATATCTATGGCTGGGACAAATAGTACAGTTGTGATCTAATAGGATTTTGAATTATCTGAGTTTGAATTAATGAGGATTTCCTGTATATAATGTGTGTTTGTGTGTGTGTGTGTGTGTATATATATGTATTAACAATTTAATACATTTTAAAATTGATTTGTTAAAGTATTTGTTAAATTAAAANACAGTTGTGATCTAATAGGATTTTGAATTATCTGAGTTTGAATTAATGAGGATTTCCTGTATATAATGTGTGTTTGTGTGTGTGTGTGTGTGTATATATATGTATTAACAATTTAATACATTTTAAAATTGATTTGTTAAAGTATTTGTTAAATTAAAACATTAGTGTTCATTGGTTAAGGTTTTAATTATTTGACACTGATATCCAGTTTGTAACTTGTTTGAATTACTTTAATTGGGCTGCAATTTGAAAAAACTATAAACCTATAAATTCCCACTGTTGTCTGTCCTTCTTTAATCTTGAGAATGGAGCTAGATAGATGAAAGTTGAGATCAGACATGGAAAGCTTAGGGGCAGGAGGCCCTGATTAACTATATACAAATTTCTGGTTTGCACCAGAAATTATGATATTTCAATTTAAACATTTTCTCCTGAATGGTGTTAGATGACTGGCATGAATCTATTATTAAAGGAGAAGTATGATGTACAAGGGCAAGACACTACTAATTTGAGGTGGAGAACATATATTTTAAATTAAATTAATTAAAAATATGATTAAAAATTGCAGCCTAGCATTGTGACAATGTCACAATAAATAATGTTTTGTAATAATCAATTTTATAAATTTCTTTTCATATTGTGATATATATTTAGGATCTTTGAAATATAATTTTTTAATAATCAAGAAATTTTTAAAATAATTTTGTAGGTTCGTTATGATGACGAAGTGAAGAGAGTTGTTGTTGAACCATTAGAACTTACTCAAGAATTTCGAAAATTTGACCTTAATACACCTTGGGAAACTCTTCCAGCTTATCGATTGGAAGCACCACCTTCCACTGAATTGCCTCTTCATGCAGGAGTTGAATCAGAAGAAAAGAAATAAATTATTCTGTTTGATAATTTTAATTAAAATAAGGTAAATTGATAATTAAGTATAAAACAAAACATTTCCACACAATTTATTTAATGTATTTAATTTCAATTTTGAAAGAGAAAAATAAATATTTTAATTTTGTAAAAAAATTACTTTACATACAACAATAACATTGTAAATTGTTACTTGTTAAAAAGTTTAGGTGTGTGTATATATAGTACAGGGGTCGGCAACCTGCGGCTCGCGAGCCACATGCGGCTCTTTGGACGTAAAGCTGCGGCTCTTTAGTTCCATACGCAAATATTGTTTATTTTATCAAAAAAAAAACATTTAAAACTCGTTCTGAATTGATTAACGAGGATTAGGCACTGATTCTATCTCTCAGCCACTTGTACTCACTTTTCACTGCACCCCTCCCCCGTGACACGCGTCGTCACTGTCGTCAGTCCGTTGGAAGCTCTCGAATGACGCCGTCGTCGGATGTTTCTATTATCTAATTTGTTGTGAAAAACACTACTTATATATGAATAAACTAGCTGTTACCCGCGACTTTTCTCGCGAAAATTTTGCAAGCAAACCACATTTATATTCAGTATTTCAACAACCATAGTAATTGTTATATAACACCTACCGCCGA